ACCATATCGGTGAGTCATGTGATGCATTTAATAATTCTGAAAGTAACATCACCTTTATGATAGCACTTTTTTATTGTAATAATGAAACGGAAAAAAAATGTACTCTTGTTTAAAAAAGACACAAGCCTTTCCTTCTCCTTCCGTTTTCCTGCCCCTCCCGGTTTCTTCTTCTGTTGTAGATTTTGACTGCTTTTGTCAGTCTATTGCTGTGTTTACTGTTTCAGCTCTGCTGCTTGGAGAATATGCGTCTCCCTGTCTTTCCTTGAATTTTATGACACACAATGAATCTTTAAAAGCGCTCATGCCACAAGCTCACACATAAGCTGCGTAATGCACACTAGTACATGAGTAAGTGTGTCATTTGGCTCATTTGCACCTTTTTTTTCCTGCTACTCTTTCTCATTGTAAAGGTCTCATTTCCATTTGAGAGTGATGTGTTGATGAGGGCAGCCGAGAGACGGGAGGAGGAAGAAGCTGAGAAGAGAGGGGGAGGGAAGGAAAGAAAGAAGAAAATGCTAAAATAGTTAATGAGCTTACATTAAACACACCTTTACTCATGACATGATTTTTTTCTCCCAATATTCTCCATTTCAATGATGTTCTCGCTCAGTTTTCAGTAATCCCGACGGGATTATCCCGTGTTACTTGTCAAAGCCAGCCTGGCTTCCTGACCTTTTGCCTACAGGGCGTCAATAATTAATGAGCTACCTAAAATGTTCCATCAATCTTTCTGCAAATTATAAGTGCTATTCACCAGAAAATACATCAAATGAGCTTTACAACTATATGCAGCTGTCCTTAAAACAATGTCATTGAGGAGAATACACATGTAAGAACTCAGGATCAGAAAATGAAGACCTAAAATTTCTTATTTTTTCTTATTGTTTACAAGTCCAGTAGCAACAAAGCCAGGTCACCATCAGTCTGTGATTTTTTAACTGAAAGAAGTAGATCCTCTGTTAATTTAGTTTAGCATTTAGTAACAACAGCTGCTTAAATCTGTTGTATAAGTTGAAACCTGCATCAAAACACCTTTTCATACTGCGTGTGTTGCCAAGCTTTATTCGTATACATATCATTTATGGGTTGATTTATTTCCTGATGAACATGGCACCCTCTTTCTAACTAGCACTTTTTAGAAGACACACAATGTCGGCAAATCAGCATAATACTGCCACCACTGTGTGTCACGCCGTGGCAACATGGCGTTGCAGGAATTTTGCGGCATTTGTGCCGCCACACTTGGTAGTGATATTTCAGCAACCTGCAGCAGGACTATTTCAGCAACTTGTGAATGCATATTACACCTTGGCGCAACAGAGGGAGGTGTCATGATTACGTGGGGAGTTACTGCCGAGCTCCAGCTGGCAACAATATTGAAAATGAAAGTAAAAACGGGCAGTAAGTTTTGCTTTTGTTAACAGAATCAGCTGAGATGATAAACTGGAGCGATGCACAGCTCCAGGAGTTGCTCTCCATTAGGGCTGGAGGTCAGACCACCAGAGACTGCAAAGGAACTGTGAAGGACAGACACCTTTAGGCGCGGCTTGTTAAAAAACGTAATGAGCACGGAAGTTAAACGGAAGTTCGTGACAGTGCGGAGCCTGCCCCCTTACCCCTTTTTACCACTGTTGCTTAATGACACCACTGTGCAACATTACATGGCCACCAACTGTCACACATTTGACCCCCTTCACACACTCTCCTGGTACACCTTTAATATCTTATGCTGAAGAATGACCCCCCCCCCCCCCCTTCCAATCTGATCTGGCTTTGTTGCTATTGGACTTGTAATATAATTTTTGTCCAACAATGTGTATCTTTTTACTTCGTCGTTCATTTTAGTATTAATTGGCTCATGTCAGTGTTAGATTATTGTAAGCGCTAGCTACAGCAGGGTTGGTTTACAACTGTTGTAATTCCACTTTCAACCAGTAAGGCAGAGAAAACTGCTCTGTGTTCCTTTAGGGGCCCGCACCGCCACTCCAGAACTCCTCTACCTCTGTTGGCTGGTCCGTTGTCCTTTTTTATTGTCACCACTCCCATCGTCTGCATCGTTCTCTTCTTCCAGTTCCACCAGCGGACAAACCACCCTGAGTTCCAACAGCTCCAAGATCTCCCCATGGACAACCTGATGGAGGACACTCCGCTCTCCAGGTACAGCCGCTGACGGAAGCTCACATCCTGTCCATCAGCTCAAGCATACAGAGAACATGTGTTTACTGATGACCAGAGGATGGCGGGAAACCCTTTGCCTCGGTGCAGCTGAGTTCCCAGTTGCACCCAAATGATGAAAACGTTGCTCAAGGACTCTCCATTATCTTGAAATGAGATGTTTTACACGTTTCTTCCATATTCCCTTCAGCTCTGGCTGTTGTGGAAAGTCTTTCTTCCCAACCCGAGGAAATCTGGATTAAAGTTTCACTATGCTCTTTAATAAAACTCTCAGGTTATTGAGCGTTAAATAGCCAGATACACAGACTGAGGGAGGATATCAAGTCACTTGTGGTAAAGCTGCCAGCATGCCCATTACAATAAGAGCATTCATTTTAGGTGATTATTTTTCAGAGCACTTTCAATCTAAACTGCTGCCTTAAAGCTGAGTGGCGTCTTAAAGCAAACCTAACATTACTAATTACTGTCATATATTTGATAGGAAACAGTCAAAATTTAAATTCAAACACATTATAGCCTGAAAGTTTTTAATGCTGCAGCCTGTAAATGAAAACCTGTAATAAAAAATTGTATTCCATAAAACAGATTAAATCCCGACTCAACCACACCAACAGAATGAAACATTTCAGGAATGTGGGTGTAAGTAACGGAGAGTCATTCATAACTCAAAACACCAAAATGCTAATAGATTAGACAAGATCTTACAATATTGTCAAATGTCCAAAGCACAGCCTGTGGACCATTTGTAGCCTTCTGAGTGATTTTGTGCAGCCTTTTGTTGAATTTCTACAAATGTGGAGCTTTAGCAGGCTGTTGATGTAGATCCACACTTAACATTTTATAATCAGATTTTAACTCATTTGGGGACTGTTTCTGGGCAGTGCAATAAAAAAAATCCCAGTAAGATAAATGTAGTATTTTTAAAATAAATATATACTTCTTGTGACTCGCAAAGAATTTTAGCTTGATGGTTTAGGCTCTCGTCATAAAAGGTTTGGACACACTTGACATAAGACATTGTCTAACAATGATGTTATTTTACAATGTGCAGGTCAATCTACTCTCATCTATGGTCACGAGCTTTGGATATAGTGACCAAAAGAACGAGATCATGGATGCAAATGGCCAAAATGAATTTTCTCAGCAGGGTGGCTGGGCTCTTCCTCAGAGATGGGGAGAGAAGCTTGGTCATTCGGGAGGGGCTCAGAGTAGACCTGCTGCTCCTCCACATCAAGAGGAGCCAGTTGAGGTGGCTCGGGCACAGGGGTGGATTAAGGACTGAAGAAGATCCGGGGCTTAACACACACACGCACGCGCGCACACACACACCCGCGCGCAAACGCACACACGCGCGCACACACGTGACACGCACTAGTCAACATATATATTTGTCTTGTACCACATAATTTTTAATCTGAAGCTACATATTAAGCATATTCAGGGCAGAATATTGTTCCTGTTAATGTTTAGTGTGAGATGATAGTAAATATTCCCTTTCTTTCTCCATCAACTTTACCTGATAGTAAGCTAACTTTAGGCAAACCAGCACCACAACAAATATTTTCAAATAAGACTCACAAACCTGAGTCAACACCAGTATCATCAAAGCTGGGGTTCTGTTGCGGTACTTTTGGTCTAAAAAACGTCCTTATGTCGATCTTCACTCATGCATTTCAGGCATACTGCAGAAGAAGCCGGCTGCTGAAGGGCTTCTTCTACAGTGGTGGAGGTTCAGGCAGGCTGTATACAAACTACTGCTAGCTGCTCCCTCTCTGTTGGACTTTGGTACTGCATGTTACTTCCACGTTTGAGATCCGGGGCTTTTGATTAAAGATCCGGGGCTTCAGCCCAAGTAGCCGGGCCTAACGCCGCCCCTGCTTGGGCATCTGATTGGGAGGCCTCCTGGATGCCTCCCTGGTGGGGTTTGTCAGGCATGTCCAACTGGGAGGAGACCTAATGGAAGACCCAGGACATACTGGAAGGACTGGCAAGCGAGGAAACACCTTGGAATTTTTTGCAGGAGCTGGCCCAAGTGTCTGGAGAGAGGGAAGTCTGGGTCTCTCTGTTTAACCCTCTCAGGCTCAAAATAAGTTTTGATAAAAGGACGAACAACTAAGTCCTTCAGGGGTACTTCAGAGTAAAAAAATGCTCATGAAATATGTATGTGGAGTAACTGGGTAGGTAGGTTTTAACGTTGCAAATCTGCAACGCCTACCTCCAGAGGGTTAAACTGCTGCCCCTGCGACCTGACCCCAAATAAGCGGAGGAAAATTGATGGATAGGTAGATGGGTTTTTACATAGTAAACTGTGATTACAGCATCCATTTTGCTTCAGAAAAAATATATGTGCCTTAATATCAAGTTATTTCTCTCTTATATAATTTATTCAACACATGACAGAACACAGGCCTTTGAATAATCCTAATTTAACCCTAAAATGGGTAAAACTAAACTTTCTCTTCCAGTGTTATTTTTGACACACACACACACACACACACACACACACACACACACACACACACACACACACACACACACACACACACACACACACACACACACACACACACACACACACACACACACACACACACACACAAAGAGAGAGAGAGATGGACGGACAGACGGACAGACACAGACAGACAGACTCTGGTGAGACTGGTGGGTGTCATTTATTATGAAAGAATGTCCTTTTGCATTTTACACTGTTTTAAAAGGGGGCTGTTTACAAACAACACAACAATTATGAAATATTTCCTGATCACATTTTATTTGGAAGATATGTTTCCTGTGAAACACTGACCCCTGCTGGCCAGAACCGTATAAACGTCTGTTGACGTGTTTCCGTTTCCGGTGTAAACATGCAACAGCGACAACAGAGCCACTTTTAAATGTTGTTAACCAGATAATTTATAATGAATGACACAAGAAGCGATACCAATTCGGTTCGCTACTACTGCACCGCCGGTAATGGGATGGAGTCGTTTCTAGTGGATGAAGTGAAAAGAAAGTTGGCAGCGAAAGACGTGAGTGAGTTAGCACGAAGCCCAGTGAAGTCAGACTAACTCAACTTTAAACGTTAATGAAAGTAAATGGAAATATTTGAACGTTGAATTTGATTAAGTTAATACGCGATAATAATATTTTCAATAAAAAAACTGCTTTCTATGTTAAACTGTCATTTACGAGACCTAGCTTAAGTTGTATCTAGAACTAAACTAAATATTTTGACGTGTTTAGTATTTTAGAATAACTACACACCAGATTAGCAAACAAACGCTTAGTTGTAATGAAGAAATTCATTTTAAATATTCTTTTGAAGTGATGCTAGAAGTGGTTTCAAATCTTGGATCGTTACAGAAACTTTCAAGTTATATAAAATATCTTCTGCATATTATTTTTGGCTAAATATTTTGTGCAATTTATAATTTATATTTAAGTACTTTGTCTAATATGGTCTATCAGTTTTAATATTAGACAGTATTGTTTTGTAGCATTGGAGTGACAACAAACGTTTATATTTGCTTCATTCATAGACATAAATATGAGGATTTAGGGTTCTTATTGGCTCTGTCAGTTTGAAATCTTACCATACAAATATATATATATATTTTTTTACAAATAATTTGTTTAATTTAACTTGCCACTATGAAAATGCTTTTAAATGTGTCTCATTTGCTTTCATCAGGTACTTCAGTTTCCAGGCAAAGTGTTGTTCAGTTCCTCTGCTATGGTTGACAGAGTCAGAAGCCTGAAAGCTGCAGAAAGGCTGTTTCTTCTGCTGAAGCAAGACTCGCCGTTGGGGCTACCTGCTCACACTAGTCCAGGTATCTTCTTACTGAGAAAATGCAGATGCGCTCCACCTTTGACTGTATAAATTACAAAGGAAAATCAAATCATTTCACAATTTTTCTTAACTACACTCCATATATTACTTTGTTTTTGTTTTTAATCTTTTATTGAAATAATGTTCACAGCAAGGGCTTCATATGTGCTGCAGTCCAGACTGTTTAGTGACAGAAATCAGTGGACCGGAGCTGTAAGGACATGGAGCCGTCTGCAGGGGGAGCTGGCAGCCAACAGAAATGCAGACAAAACCACTGCAGTCAGGGCAAGAAAGGAGACAGAAGGGGGGAACGGGGATGAAGAGGAGGGAAAGTTCCTTGTAGAGTCTAGAAAGCGTACACGAGAGCTTAGAGTGGAGGAGTGGGAAAGTAAGAAGCTGAGAAGTGACAAACAAATTAACGACAAAGAAGAAGAGGCTGATGTTTTGGACCTCAGTGATGTGGAGGATGTAGAGGAAAATGAGGCTCCTGATACAGAGAGAAGTAGAGAAATAGATACAAATCAAATCAGTGGAACCAATCATACAGCAGCAAGGCCAGAGCACAATGTGGGAAGCTGCAGCAGGACTATGGATCAACAGGAAATGGAAAACAGTAAGAAGACTGGACTACTGAATAAGAAGATACAACGGTGGTAAACTCCCACAAGAAGAAATCATTGCCCTTTTGATTCTCAGTGTCTTTTAGGATTAACTGCAAATGCAGTGGATCACTGTCCAGATGCCTCAGTGCTCAGGTAAGCATCAGATTTATTATCTAGAGTATGCATTTAAGTGTTGTGAGAACGTCGTGTAAGGACAGACATCTCTGACTATCCATAGGAGATAAGCAAAGTGCTCGGAGCAGGTCTCAGCAGACTTCTGGGCTGGAAGGCAGACCTGAAGAGTCCACAGTTAGAGGTGAAATGTCATTATCTTAATAATTCACTTGGAGTCTTTTATTGCATAATTTACCATATAAACCACATCTGTAAATAATCAGGTAAATAATCAAATGCTCTGTTCTCACCTGGAGATAAATGCCCATTTGACCAACGACTACATTCTGCTGGGGATTCCATTGACCAGGTAATTGTTAGGGGTTTAAAACTGAACAAATCCACGCATTTCTCCCTCATTTGTTCCTTTATCGTAACAGGAAGTTCTGCTGTAGTTGTCAGATAATTCAAACAAATGTTCAAACATGATTGTATGATGAAGCATCTAATAACTCGTCTTATAAGAAGTGATTCTTGATGTTGCTTTCACTTTCAGGTCTCCTCTGGCCAGCCGCAGCTACATTAAAACCACAGGTCTGAGGTCTACAATAGCCTGGGCCATGGCCTCGCTAGCTCAGATACAGGTTAGACCAATCTGTGTGTTGCGTTATTTGTTGTTTATTTGAACAATATGTCCATAATTTTAATTATTAGTGCAAGTTTACCAGACATTGAAAGTATGGTTGTTGTTTTTCCCATATGTGTGTATATATATATACACACACACACAGTCTGGTCCATAAATATTGGGACATCGACGCAATGCTAACATTTTTGGCTCTATACACCACCACAATGGATATCAGATGAAACGAACAAGATGTGCTTTAACTGCAGACTGTCAGCTTTTATTTGAGGGTAATTGCATCCAAATCAGGTGAACGGTGTAGGAATTACAACAGGTTGCATATATATATATATATATATATATATATATATATATATATATATATATATATATATATATATATATATATGTGTGTGTGTGTGTGTGTGTATATATATATGTGTGTATATATATATATATATGTGTGTGTATATATTTATATATATGCTTATTGTGACCGTTCAGGTTCAGGAAGTATTTGTGTGCACACTGGTTCGTTTAATGTAGTTGTGATGTTCTTCTGTATTAACAATCACACCAAATGAGTGTGTTGTCTCCTATTTCTCAGCCAGGCTTCTGTGTGGTTGACCCGATGTGTGGAGTGGGAACCATCCTAATAGAGGCAGCACAAGAACACAAGGTCAACTCACGATGCATTCTTAAACGTAAAATCTACAGTACATGTTAGGATTGTATTAGTTAAAGGTGTGGGTCATTGATAACCCATTTTCTAATGATTATTTCTGATTAGAATCAGTCACTGAGTTTTTCATCCAGGCTGAAAATGAAGTTAGTCTCCTACACTAATCTCCTGCATTAGCTTCTAATAGAAAATAGACGGTGAAACTCTAGGATTAGAAAAGCCTGACTGCTCTACATTAAGCAGGCACTTGGATTCGCTAATCTTGTCTCATGATTGGGAGGGCTTTTTTTTTAATTTAGCATCCTGCAGACAGCAGGAAATGTCTTGGCTATCAAAAGCTAACAGTTAGCTGAACAACATCAGTCTTGTGATATTTGTGGAGATGAAACATCTATATCGCAGAGCAAACGGAGTCGGTGGTAGAGTCGCGTTGCAGTTATCCAATCAGAGGCAAAATGTCCAAATATCAGGAAATAAAGAGTCCAAGTCCTGCTGTCTCCTGACGCAGACTTGTCCATGCTGATCCAGACCAGGGTTTCCCCCAGCGCTTTGTAAGCCTGGTGGCCCGCCAGGCTTTGCTTGCCCACCCGCCAGGTTAAATGTCATGCCCCACCCCCCTCCCCGACACTACTGTGTCCGCTTACATGAACGGCGCAGCGAAACTACAGCCCAGCTGATACTGGTGAGAAACAGCAGCAGAACGTGTGCAACCACCCCCGCTCTCTCAGAGGAGTGCTGGGGGACAGAACGCGCGACCCCCCCGACAGCTAAAGCCGCCAGGCTTAACTCATTTTCTGGGGGAAACCCTGCAGACCCTTCTGAGCTTTTTTCCCCGAATTTGGCTTGCAAGGCATTAATTCCTCCCAGAAACCACTGCAAAAGTATTCATTAAACAAGTGTTCTACACCTTTGAGACAGTATTCTAGCCTCACACAATGAAGCAAATGAGTCGTTTCACAAAACATTCCCCCTTTTCAGGAATAATGTATGATTTTTTTTTTTTGAAATCTGTGAAAGGGATAGTCTGTTTTACCCTGGACTCTAGTGATCCCCAACTCCTTTCCCCGAGGTGCGGCATCCTGCATATTTTAGTTGTTTCCCAAATTCAACACACTTGATTCGCCTGTTCAGCAGCTCATCAGCCTCTGCAGAAACCTGCTGATTAAAGTCGGGTTTGTTGATGCAGGGAAACCCGTAAAACGGGCTGGATACCGGCCCACAGCAAGAGTAGTTGGGGATGTTTATGTTGTTTATGTTTATGTATCACTGCTGTACTGGGATATAATGTAGGCAAAGCGTCCATTTTTTTTTGCCAACTTTATTTTGTCCTACTTTTCATAGGTTACGGATGTTAAGTCAACTCTCTCATCATCTGTTAAAATGTGTATTGTTTAATTGAAATCTTAATTTTGAAATTTTAGTTTTCACTAGTTTCCATTTACAGACCTGCTCCACACATCTGGACCAAATAGTGCAGTTTTATTATATTTCACATATCTTCCACCCAGATAAGGCACACATACATTTAGCCTATAACCTCAATGCTTGGGAACATATATGAATTTGACATCCAACAGTGTGATAAATGCAACAAGATTTATTGCAAGTTAATTTTTTACATGCAACGTACCAGTTTCAGTTTCTCCTATAAAGAAAACTGAAACTGGTATGTTGCAAATAAAAGGTCAGAATGGTTATCATTGCAGTAAGTTCACATTGGCCATGTTCGAGTTGAGCTGCGCCTCGCCTGGAAAACAGACGAGAGCAGACGGAAGCAGCAGGGGGAGTGGCTGAAAGCCGGCGTTTAAGTCGGACACAATTTCCTGCATGTGTAGCTCACGGGTGACGATGGATGAAGATATCGCGTTAGAGTTCATACTTGTTTAATTTTCAATCGTAATTCTGGTGCCTGTTAGCAGCTGAAACACATCCTCACGTGCTTGTGGATGTCATATATTGTATATGGAGACATGATTGTAATAATAAGTAAAGGTTAGCAGCTGTAGGTTCAGTGTGCTCATAGGAAACGTGACAAAAGAAAACATAACACATTCCTCTTTATGGCCTAAATAGTTGTCATCATCAACGTTACATGATTTACAGAATACATGTGACCAACTAACATTTCATGTTCTACCACCGGATGTTTGGATCAAAATATGAACCAATCAGATCTTAGATCAGGTGAGAGCCAGGCGTTTCCCGTCATCCTCTAGGTTTTGCAGCCGGTGGAGAGCAACTGCAGCGCCTTGCTCCAAAATCTGCGGCTGCCTTGATCTCACGAGGTTATCGTTACCTACGTATGCATGACGTCAGAGCAAGTCGGCGTCAAGTCGGACACAAATCTAACCGGCATGCACTGCTCGCCGATCACCGTGATCTAATCTGCGCAGAACTGGCTTATCTCGAACACAGCCAATTTCTTGGAGGACGGTCTGCACTAAAACAGTCAATTGTAGGAGTCGAGAGCCCTCTTAGCCAGTCAGAGGCGAGAAAGGTGGGACCTTCCTAGAACATCCTACATTTCGAAAATTTGTATCCAGTAGCGATGGGAATTCCAGCTCTTTTTAGAGAGCCGGTTCTTTTGGCTCAGCTCACCAAAAAGAGCCGGCTCTTTCGGCTCCCAAGTGGCTCCTCAGATTTTCTGTTGCATAGAGTACATTTATAACCAAAATAATGCAAAACTATATGTAAAATGATTTACTAATGTAAAAAATATGCAATATATCAAATATTTATTATTTCTTTGGATTTAATAACTAAACACTTTAAGAAATCTCCACTTTCCGACTGCTGGCGCTCATTTTCTCACAGTCTTCGTCGCACTCTCTCTCGCTCGCCTTTTTCCTCCTCCTCCTTCCCTCCCGTCTCCCTCCACCCGCATGCGCTCTGCTGTGTGTCTGCGTCTGGTCCTCCCTCTTCCCCACCCCCTACTGCTCCGTGTGTGGACAATCTGGACATGCAGTTACACATGTTGACCAATCACCTGTAGCATTCACCAAAGCAAGAGGGGAGGGGGGAGAGGAGGGGACAGCTCCCAATGATGAGCCGGCTCCCGTCCACTTCAAAGAGCCGGCTCTTAGAGCCGGTTCGTTCGCCACTGACACATCACTAGCATCCAGTACAGGCTTGTGCTTTTTGAATTCAGCGCCACCCAGCATTAGCCGGTTAGTAGACTGATACAGAGTTAGCGACATTTCTTATGGACAAATATTATGTATCATACATGTGAATAAACAGTTATACATGAGAATATTAATAGTAAAACTGTGTTCTAGCTCTGGTGGTCAGATAGAGGTCCACATTCACGATCGAGGCTAGGGGCTTTAGGTGCAATAAAATGTTTCCGCCTCTAGATGGTGCCCTTTGACGAGAAAAACTCTGCTTTAATATGTGTTTAAGTTGTGTTATAATGTAATTAATCGCCCTGTCACTCGGCCCTCAGGCTGCCTGTTTTCTGGGTGTGGACATTGATGATGGACAACTGCAGAAGGCCAACGAGAACAAGACATTTGCAGAGCTGGGGAGCAGAGTGCATCTACTAAAAGCCTCCTCTATGGGTAGGAAGAAATTGAAACTAATATTTTATCCTGAAAACCTCTTATGACGTTTTTATCCACGAAGACCTACAGTGTTTGAGTTTTGGGGTGCTATTTCTTTGTCAGGTATAACATTTCTTTCTATGTTTGTCCTTGTGTGTGTGAACAGGGTTGCCTCTGCCCAGCTGCAGCATTGATGCTGTAATCTGTGACCTTCCTTTCGGCAGAAAATTTGACACCAAAATAAACATGGCCGTCAAGCTTCCACTCATCCTCAGTGAGATGGAGAGGTATCAGTGCACGAATAGAGACTTTTTATTCTTTACTTTTTTGTTTCTATAGATTGGAAATAATTAACATACATGTTACTTCTCTGGGAAGCATTCGGTGTTAAGAAATAAAAATTAAATTGATTTTACACACGTTTGTTGATTCAGAATCCTCTGCGTTGGTGGCACACTGGTTGTTCTCCTGAGTCCTCAGCTGTCTTCTCTTATGAAAAAACTCCTGGCACAAAAACACACCGGCCCAACATCCGACCAAAAAGCAACGCCTCCAGCTGGGATGCAGGAAAGTGAGTTTCATTTGTCATCTTTGAGGCACCAAATGAGTCTCAGAGTCAGCTTGGGAGCAATAGATGGACTTATCCATAAATATGTCAAAACATAAACATATTATACAATTAAAGTTTGGTCATTGTAACAGCTGTATGAGTTTTGAAAATAATAAAACAGCTTCTTCTTCATCTGTTGCCTCTTATCGATCCATCATTATGTAAGAATTGTGTCAGCTGTGATATTTGACTGATGAACACAGCTGTAAGATTAACCATCCCTAAGATGCTTTTGTGTGTGTGTGTGACCTGTTACCTGTCAAGTAAGCATATTTGTAAAAGTAGCTAAACAGTGATTAAAGAAAGCCACTAGATATCTGGAGGTTTTTGGGTGGTGGGATATTCGTTTTCCTTATTGGAGGTTTGATCTTAGATTTGTTTAGCCATCTGCCACTCTTTAGCCCTGCTTAGCCTAGTTTCACATTGAGGAACCAGACAACACATGCAATTTAGTGTTTTCATTCATTTTCTTCTAAACGCAGTACCAAGCTGCCTATTGTTGTATGCAGTTGTATTATCACTGATTACATCAGAAAAACCAACATATGAATGGATTACATCAGAGAAAGATGTCCCTAGACAGAACTCCTCATAATTAATATTATTAATTGTCAGTATTTATATTTTTATTATATTTTAATGTAAACTTCATTCAAATTTGCGTGTACATTATTGAAGGCCTCATCCCTGACAAAACATTGAAGGTTGCGTGAAATCCGCCACGCATGCGCAGTGTGCTGTGGAAGCCATGTTGGAGTTACGGTGGATTCGGGCTGGGAATTTTTGACGCTGTACGTTTTTCTTAAAATATCAACTTTACATACTTCATAAGGGTTCGTCAGCCGCGCAAAGTTGGAAAAGATGAACTCCAGTGTCGACCTGTCGCGGCGGAATCCGCAGGAAGATTTCGAGCTGATTCAGCGGATAGGAAGCGGCACATACGGAGATGTGTACAAGGTAAAAACTGCAGGGAGGGAAGCTCGCACCGAGTTCCATTTTCGGACACAGCGTCCACAGACGTCATTTATAGTTTTCCCTTTTGCTTGGGTTTTTCAAGCAGCGGTAACAGGAAAAAGTAACGTAGCGGACAGACAAGTGTGTATTCTCATGTAACGGTAGGAGCCTGTTTCCGTTCAGATTTTAACAGGTGTTGTATTCTTCTGACAGCTTTTCATTTGTATAATTCCATTGTCGGACACATGGCCAAAACGGCACATTGTGTATTTATTTCTTAGTTTTTATTCTTGTCAACCCGCTATTTGCTGGTATTAAAAACTTTGATGTTTACATTTTGGGGAATCGTGTTAACGATCAAGACAGTGCCGGGGGCTCTGAAAGAGTCCTCAATGGTCACAGTTAACGGTGAATGTTTACTGCCTGTTGTGACGTATGTTAGCTAGCTGTCCGAAAACGGACGCATGTGAAGTGTTAGCTTTAAGCAGCTAATCGGACTCTTGACTTTTCGTGGGAACATTATGAAGAAACGTCAACAGACAATGATTCAGTACGTGTACGGAAACATAGACATGAATATTAACGATCTATATTATTACAAAAATACAAAATTATAAAGGGTTTGCTGATTGTTCGTTACAAACGTCTCGTCTTAGCCCTCACGGGGATTAACAGATGCTTGACTGGAGAAACTCTTTACTGAAGACTGAGGAAGCTACAGGAAAAATCTCATCAATCCCATCACGCTATTTAACACTGATACGAAGTATTAAGAAGCTTGTGTGCCCGTTTCTGAACGACGAGTTCGATATGAAACGCCAGAGGAGCTGTTAGGTTCTGGTGCTTCCCGTTCCCAGGGCCCTGCTTTGGGAACAGTTTGGGATCCGTACTGAAAGGCAGCTTCGTAGCAGCAGCCCAACAACAACAGCCACATCTCCTTGGGTTAATTACATTTCACGCAAAACAAGTTACAGCCACAAATGTCCAGAACAATATAAACACGCCAAGGCTGTCATAGTTTTGGCCAAGTTTACATGATAACACCCCTAAGCAAGGCTGTCATGGTGGAGGAGGTTGCTGTTTATTCAGAGCTCACTTAAATTCACTGTATTCACACCACACCATAAATACTGATAAAAGTTATGATTGATGCAAACTAAAATAAAAAATGTAAAGGTTATTAAGGAATCAGATCTGTAAAATCTATGCATCATATATCACAGGTCTATTCAGTTCCGGGCCTCAAGGGTCGGTATCCAACACGTTTTCGTGGTTTCTCTAGTCCAGTACACTAGATTCAGTTGTTAAATCACCTGTGCATCAGCTATTCAGGCTATGCAGAAGCCTGTTAATCACCTACTAAGTGAAATCAAGTGTGTTGAAGCAGGGTTGGGCATCTTATGTTAAAAAAGTTATTGGTTATAGTTACAAATTACTTTTTCTAAAAAGTAATTGAGTTAGTCACTCAGTTACCACATTGCAAAAGTAATTGGTTTCCTAGCAAAGTAACTGTGACATTAATTTAATGTTCTATAACACAGTTACAGTCTATATCTATGACATAGATTATTTACCTGAATGACACATAAAGGACATTTCAGATATCTGACATGTTCATTCAGTAAGAATGTTCTAATGCATCTCTGGAATGTTAATTTCTACTAGGAACAATAGAATTATAGATATCTGAATACATATCCAGTCTGCCTAATAAATGTTAAAAAGGCCACCTTAGGTTTTTAGGGATTCTGAGATATCTCAAACTTAATTTCTACTAGAAACAACATAGCTGTTGGTGTCTTCAATTGCAATTTTGACTAATAAGAAGGATTAGTACTTGGATAAATTTAATTATTGCTATATAAAATAGGAAATCACAGAGAGGGCCGATTGTGGATTTAAATGTTAAAACAGTTTGCCACAGCAGCTTGCCATAGATTTGTATACCTGTACTACTTGTACTCATCTCCTCACCTTTCTGAAGTGCTGTTTATTTTTCTTTCGTCATCTTTTACAGATTTGTCTCTACCAATATTAACAGATCCATCCTGTAAATGTAATAATTGTCCCAGGCATTTTGCGCGCTCCAACCCCCTCCCTGCTTTTTAGCGATAGGAGAGACGGTTGTGTGCGGCGCTGTGCACAAACTCCTCTCTGATCTGCAAACAAACACCCTGATGTGTTTGGCACTGTGTGTTCACTTATGCCGTTTGTAACAGCGGCTCGGGATGTATAGCAGGTGCCGGTGTTGTAGCAGTGTAGGTATCCCTGATAGAATTTGTTTCCCCTGTGTCATGTCGATTTGAATTCACCCCTAGAGATCAGCTTCTGCGCACCCTGCTGCAAGTTGGAACCATACGTCGCATATATGACGTCACCACAGAATCTCCTCTCCCCAAGCTTGGCTGCTACATACCAAATAGCCAGATTTATGGTGGTACTTTCCTCCTGAAGGAAGGATTTGAAGTTCGCTGAATTTCCAGCCATGTTCCCTCTGTTTTTCTCCGTGTCTGCTTTGATGACGTCACTTTGGTAATGCACATTTGCAGTCCTGGACGTATTTTCACACACAACCTAAAATAATGCTTTTACCCCCATTCGAAAATAAGTGCTTTCTTCGTATCAAAATGCGTCTTTAAAATTCACAAACATCATATGTGAAATCCATGGCACATAACAAGTGGAATTAGAAAATAGGGTTTTTAGCCTCATAAACTTGCTTTAATTTTTTTCGTTCTTCCATCGTCCGGAAGTAGATGGGTGTGACTTAGGCTCCCTGTAGCCCTGGTATATCAGTTTACCAGTCAGATTATGCAGGTAAAAAACTAGAGGTGCTGAAAAAAATTGATTCAAGTCTGAATCGGGATTCTTATTTATAAAGATTCAGAATCGATTCACAAAGGTTCAGAATCGATCCCAAGAACTCAAAAGTTTGGCATGTTTTTAATCTTTGTTAGGAGAGTTAGTACTCCGTTTACTTTTGTGGTCCCATAAATTGAGATGATTTATTTTTGAATCTGCTGATAAGAGGGCCCTTGAATGTAATTTTTTCCATACTCATTAATTTGAGATATTCTCATATTTATTTTCTAAGTTGATAAGTGAGGGCTCAGGATTACTCATGTATTTATTTTAAGTTATTGATAAATGAGAGAACGCATTTTCCTTTGTAAGACATCCAAGGCACTTTTTTTAAACAGGTTGAGGACTCAAATGTTAAACATGTTTCCACGCATACTTGAAAAGTATTTGACCGTATTAATTTCAAAGCTACTGTTGGGTAACTAAAGATTTGTTATAATTTACAAGTTAAGCAAAAATAAATGCTGCCTTTTGGTCAAAAGATTGCTTCTGTTTACAGTTTTAGAATCACTTTATTTTACATTGTAAATTTGCATTTTTGGAGCATGACCAGTTTACAGTCAAATAAAAATGTCCCATAGCTTTAACTAACCTGTACAACAAAGTAGTTAATCCTAGAACTGACACTCTTTGTTAACATTGATTGTGAGTTGATTTAAATCGAGAATCGATTCTGAATCAAATCGACACCTAGAGAATCAGAATCAAATCAAATTTTGAGTTGCTCTAAGATTCACGTCCCGTTTTAGATTCACTATTCAGGCCATGTACACACACGGGCTTTTGTTGAACCAAATTTCAAAGAATAGTTTAAAAAAAACGCCAAAGACAGAATACTTTTTGGTGCCATTTAGCTTCACTTTTGTGTGGATGACAGGCCAAACCGTAGATTTGTTAGATACCTAGCTACGTGTCTTAGTGGAATTCCCTTTGACATCCAGGTTAGGAAGAAGAAATCTGTATTCTTGGTCTAGATTATGTTTGGTAAACCTCGAGGATCTTTTGTTGTTGAAGAAATTCAGTTGTCTTGATTTCATTGCTGCTATCGATTTCAAGTGTTCAGTCTCAGGCATGTGGTCACAGTGTGTCATTTCAAGTGTGTTTTTGCATACGGCCTCCCCCGTGCTGCAGCTCATCGTGTTTGTTTCTAATTAAAGTTCAGTATCTTGCCTTGTTTGAGTCTGATAGCTCTGACAGAATCTGGTGAGCAGGCCGACAGCAGCCAAGGGCCAAGTTACCATCCACAAACAGTACACAGATGATTAATGTAGACTAAAATACTTTAACAAACCGAGAAAATCATTAATCTCTTAGAAAAATAGAGAAAGAGTTGTAAAACAGCCGTTTTCCCTTTATTCCTGATAGCAGATGTGTCCATAGATGAGACTTGTGTGTTGTAATGGTGGTGTACGGGTTAGTTCACAATAATAACAGAGGTTTGATGAAGGTCATTGCTCAAACCTGAAACCATTGGATTAAAGGATGTGTTTCTAAGCACCAGGGCATTTGGTAAGCCTCATGGATGCCTATATTTGGTTCTACCACTGTGTGAAAAAGTGCGGCTTGGATAGGAATGTTTGAGCAGGAAACAAAGCATGAACTCTGCTAGCTTGTTTTCTCCACTGTTTGTAGTCCTGCCTCTCTGTCTGCAATGTCTGTAATTGTAACTGGGGGGGGGGGGGGGGGGGGGTTGTCTGGCTAATATGGGGGACAAGCCCTTTGACCACCATATCACAGATTTGATCCTCCAAAGAATTTGCCGCAGGGGGAGTCAGTTGGGTCTAATTTGTTTCTTTGAACCTTAAACCGTGGTGCCAGATTTTGTGAAGCTGCCAGGGACTTGTAAGAATATAAAAAGTGATATTTGAGAAAAATCAGGTCATATTTTTTTCACTTTTCAGGCTTTAAACGTGTTGTTGACTGAAAAACAATTTTTAGTATGTTTTTTTCTGATTTAAAATGGGTCGCTCTGAGTTTTTCATGCAGGCTGAACACAGGCTGAACATGACTATTTAGTCTCCTACACCTTTCTCCTGCATTAGCTTCCGATAGAAAACAGACAGTGAAACTCTGGGGTTTGAAAATCCTCAGATGAATTAACATTCATGGAATCACCCATCTTGACTCATGACGGGGAAGGC